CATCGTAATTAATAAATTATAAAATGTTCAGTTTTTATAGCTAAGGATTGAAAATTTAAAACAAGATTCCACGTAAGTAGTTAATTCTCTTACCAAAAAATCTAAAAAATATACAATCACAGTTTATTTTTATAGTCATTTTATGTTCAAATTTGGACGAAATTACATATTAAAAAACCTAGTTATTTTGTTGTGATTATATAATATTATTCGTGGGTACCTACTTGAAACTTCTAAAGTTTACTATTATATATCAATGATAGTATCAGGATTTGTTATTGATGTTGATGTATAACGTGTTATAAGTACCTAATGGATATTGTGATAATGTGATATGATTAATTTGGAATTTATTATAGGTCAATTTTTTTTTAATACCATAGATATGTATATAATTTGTCTTAAACCTAGACTGACATACCGTCTTCGCTCAGAATCGTTTTTCTTATACAATGATATTGTATCATTGAATTCAAATTTAATACCATCCATTATACAGTGACCCACTTGTAACCTACAGTACAGCAGAGCGACATACACTTACCCACCTTTAATCATTATTAAGTCCTGAAAAACTTAATGCATAATAGGTATAGTTAAGCATTTTGATGGAAATGTGGTCATATAACCAGTGTTGAGACTTATTTAGATAATTTATCTAGATAATTATTTAGTTATCTTTTATCTTATATAGATAAATAGTTGTGTTTTATCTAAATAAAATTATCTAAGATAAAAAATTCATCCATCTAGATAAATTTGTCTCTATACAAAAACATTAAATATACTTTTTACTGTAGTATCTAAGCTCAACTGTCAAATGTTAGACTTTATAGTATGTATTAAAAAAAAAAAACATCTTTTGAAAATTGTAGGTCTTAGCAATAAAAATTGAACTTTATATACATTTTTAAATACAACATAATTTTATAATGTTCGCTATCAAATCTAATAAAAAATATCATATTTATAAATTATATTGTATTTTATTATAATCACATAAAAACTTTTTGTGTGGAAATTCTAAGCACCGGAAGAGTTAACGCATAGTTGAAACTTGAAATCAAACCATGAAATAACTGTTTTGACTATAATATTTATGTTCATAGTGTATTTTGATTTAAATTTTGATACTTACCAGTTACCATATCTAAAAGGATTGATAATAAACTAACTAATTGTATACCTAAATTAAAGTTTAAAGTAAAAAAACTGTTGATTTTGTATAAAAACGAATTTATCCTCCTCTCCATAACTCCATTATAGGTACTACTATTATTATTATACTACTTCCTGCAATTTTATTGTAACTATTTTTACCTTGAATTTTCAAAGACAATTTCAGTGTCTTTCGTACAAATTAATGTAAATTTCGTGCTAAATTGTGGTATGTCAAGTTTTTTTATTTTTATTCATTTTAATGACCGGTGCTGGAGAGACTTTTCCACAATACAGCCCATCATTTTTTGGCATGCGGGTGGAAATTTTGTCATTCAAATTTTGGGAGTAGTCGTGCAAACTCATGCTCATTTCTGTGAAAATAAAATTTTTTAATTTTTGAATGGACGGTGCCGCACTGTTCCAGAAAGTTGATTTAGGGGGACAAAATTACAATTTTCATAATCAGTAATCGATTATAATTTTAAAAAACCGACCAAGTGCGAGTCGGACTCGCTCACGAAGGGTTGCGTACCATCATCAGCAATAAACATGTTGGCAACACTGCTTATACTATATATTCTAGGATTTTTAATTTTTTTTTGCTGTTGTAGCGGCAACAGAAATACATAATCTGTGAAAATTTCAACTTTCTAACTTTCATGGTTCATGAGATACAGCCTGGTGACGGACTGCAGCGGTGCCTTAGTAATAGGGTCCCGTTTTACCGTACGGAACCCTAAAAATACTAAAAGATCAAGTAAGAACGAATTAAGAAAAATTAACGGGACTGGCAATATTTTATAATAATATATTTATATCGATATTATGTTTTTATTTCGAAAGTAGGTAGTACTAATAACTATAGTAGTTAATGACTCAATTATTTATTTGTAATTAATGCTTATAAAAATTATTTTGTTTTATTCTTTATTTAAAAATGGTTATTTATTGTTATTTTATGTTGCAATGCCCAAATAAATTATAAAACGATGAGACCGTTTTTTATACACTTTTCTTAAGTTCGGTTTCACGTCCGTCTGTGATCAAATCTTGCGCGCTCGATTTGAGGCACTTTTTGAAGATGAAAAATTCTGAAAATTGGTATAGACCTTGGTTTTTGATGACAATACAATAATCCGTAAAAAAAATTTTTTAACTAAAAAGTAGAAAATAAAAAATTAAAAAATTTTTTTTTTAAAAACACACTTTTCTAAAAAAACAAAAAAATAATGAAAAATTTAAAAGTGTGTGGCGCTCTTACACTTGACATATTATACCACACACTTTTAAATTTTTCATTATTTTTTTGTTTTTTTAGAAAAGTGTGTTTTTAAAAAAAAAATTTTTTTTTTTAAATTGGTTAAATTATATTTATACTTGTATCGCGTTACGTCGTGTATAGATGCTCCCTCCTATAGGTACTTAGTTATATCGAATTTACAGCAAACAGTAATTATAATTACTGTTTTAAATTTGTAACGAGACAGTTTTACCTACCATAAAAAATTCGCTAAATAGCTCTCACGTGTAGTTTAACAGTGAATAAACCATGAAATTGATACCGTCGATTGTCGCCTCGAACTAACACCGACTCGCCGACAGCCGACCGAACCATAGATATATTAAAGAATGGATAGGCCATTTGTACTTATCGTAAAATAATTTATATTATAATTTAATGAGTAAATATACTTTTCGTCAGGTTCAGTGCGTTTGATTAAAAATTTAAAAATTCAAATAGTCGTAAAATCTTAAGATAAAACAAGACAAATATTTTTTTTAAATATCGCCTCAATGTTGATTCTGGTATACCAAATTTATGGCAGACTTATTACATGAGGGTTTTTCATCGATGTTTTAGTAATTTACAGCTAATCTAATTATTGTTTTGTCCCACAGTGGTACTGTTTTTCGCTTATAATTTCTTGGCATTGTATCTATGACCTTAGGCGCAATTTTGGGGGCGCTTCGTCAACTTGACCCGATAGATAATATTTTTGTTCTTTTAACTTGCGTAATAGACATTAAGTATACATGAAAATAAAGCTTATACTATACTTTGTTGATTTTAAATAATATATAATAGATTTCATTTACCTTTTTTTAAAAAATTTCAAAATTAAAGAAAATTAAAGTGTGTATGGTGATAACAGAAAATTGTAAATAAAACACATGGGCTTTATCAGGATTATTTATTACAAGCTGCTCGTTTCCAGTCCATTATATCTTAATTCTTAGTCCGTGGTTGTTCCAAACATCATTCCTTACATTTCTTGTAAAATATCTGATGTGGATATAATATACTATCAGTTATTATCAATTCGTCAACTTACCCAGCTCATCAACTTACCCTGGTCTCCCCTAAGTGTATTATTTTTTCACTGGTTCCCCCAGAGAAAAAAATTCTGAGGGGGGCCTTGTTTAGTATGCTTGACTATGGTCTTGGGCTCCGAGATTTTCCCTTTCAACTACTATTTCTAGTTTTCTCCTCAACACTCATTTGGCGACGCCCTTTGATTGCCTGGTAAATCGTCAACAATTTAAATTCAATTCAATTAATCAACGAGTGCTTACTTATTGGGGCTGCGTCTATATGAAGAAAGTGGCTCTTAGAACAAAACGCTAGACAAAACTGAATGGATTTGGTCTGATGGATTTTAGGTCTGAAAACGGATTACCATAATATTGATCAACAAGATTATTAGGTTTGAATAGAGGTGACTTATAATATACCGAATGTCGTTAGTGTAACGATGAATAAATGTAAATTAAAAATAACATGTTAATTGTATTCATCGATATCACAGCTGAAAAAATAGATAGGTAGGTACTTTATTCAAAATCGCCTCTGTAAAATTAATAAAAACAACTTTTTTTAAATCAAAATCTCTCTTGCAACACTCAAAATCTTATATAGGTAATAAAAGTATAAAACTCTAATCTAAAATAAATAATTAGTAGTAATAATGCTAGTAGTAGAGGATGATTTTATTAATTTTTGTCATAACTATTTTGACCATTTTTATTATGGCAATCTTGAAACGTTGAACATTTTCACTACAGGTACTTGATAATATTAAATTGAATAACTCCTGCTATAGACGGAAGCTATTAAACAGGAAATAAAAAACTGAAAACCAACATCTCTATAAATCAACACACAATTTAATGACTGGTTTTAGTAGTGTTACATAATTTCTCACCATACCTATACTCATTAAAAGTATAATAATAATAATAATAATAACACTTTATATAGTTTGTACGAGAAAATCAATTATTTAATTTATCATTATTTACCTATATCATATTTCTTGTTAGCTATTTATTAATACACAAAATTGTACTTTTCGAAATATATTATGATACCTATATATTATGACACCTGTATTTTAATTATTTAAGAAAATTGCAAATTATGTTATGATATTTTAAGTAAAGATAAAATTAGTTAATTTTATTTTGAATAATTAAACATTAAATGCATACGAAGAAATATTTCACAACACCTAACGTCGCCCTTGCACAGTGAATGTTTACAACGATGAGGTACCTACCTATTAAATAGACTTAAGAAAATAACAACACAATATCTAAATATATAAAAACATTATATTATATTATATTATATTACAAAATATCTTATAACAGTATATTTTTGATATAAAATGTATAACATTTTGAAGGTAGGTAAGGGGATATCTATCACACATTTATGTACATAATATTTTCAAAAGTGCACACTAAAATGCATTATACATGTATATAACTTATGTACATTAATATTAACCTATCATAATAATATTTTAATACTTGAGCTGTGTGCATAAACTATTTCATTAGTTTAGAAGCTCTTGGTCTTCACATTTGTCGATGAACACAGCTGAAGTCCTAGAGGCAATATCAGCATACTCTCTTGGACCCTGGCTGCACAACTTAGTATCCACTTGGATACCTCGTTTACTAAAGATAAAACAATAATTATACAATTATACATAATTGAATAGCAGTCATGGATTCCATTATTATTTTAGGTGCCTATTTTAATATTATATGACATAGGTATGTAAGGGCTTTAATTGTTAGGTTAGGTTAAGTAAAGGTTAAGTAAAGGTAGGTAGGTACCACTAAATACTGATATATTTTTTCATTCATAACCAAAATATTTGTACTTAATTCAAGTTTTTATTATATGTAATTCCCTATTCGTAATGTTTTAAATTTTAGTATTTATATATTATAGCTTGTACTCTAAATCATGCCTGACTGTGGTTGTGAAATCTAATTTTTTGTAAACGATTACTGTATATAAAGGTTGTGGTTACACACCTAAAATCTAAATATATTATTAATTTTATATTTTATTTGTGCACTTGAACTGCACACAAAATTTTAATTACTTGTAAACATGAAACACATAGATAATTTTTCAACGATTAGCTTTATCTAGAAAAAAATTTAATTTCAATGACCGTTTATTTGTCGAGAAAATTATTATTAAGGCTGTGGACTTCTAGGAGTTGGGATGTTTTTTAATAATCATTAAAAACATAGCTAAGTAATATAGAAGTTTGTTTCACAGAAATACGAGTTTATACTTTACATTTTTGTTGCATATTTTGCATATTTGACCATGTTTCATTTATAAGTGCATATTTGTAATTTTTATAATTTTACAAAAAAAATTACATTTTAAATAGATTTCTTGGATCCGGGATATTATAGTATGCTGGTTTTATTTATACATATTATTATAAGTGTTAGTAACTTAGTGTTATATTAGTTAGTGTTTGTATGCCCGATCACTCGCATTGTTACTTATCGGTACACCAAACGCTTAAAGATAAGAAGAAAACAAATCAGAAAAGAAAATTAATATTATTTGTTAAAACGCAAGTTTTTTAAATTATAAATTGTAATTTATAATTTTGCAAATATTATCTAAATATTAAAATAAAAAGGTGTTATCCAAAACTACGATTTTTTTTTTAAATGCATATATATTTATTGATTCTCTAGGTCATGCATGCATGCATATTTTAAGGTTTTTAGGGCATGAAGTTCGTAGCTCTAATTATTATAATCTCGAACGAGTGTTACTTGCAGGTTTATTCAATAGATCGCGACACGTATAAGTACATTGTTCAAAATATAGTCTTAGTACCTATTGGAGTTAAAATAAAATAAATATTAACACCTATCAAAAAAGACTGTTACCTACACAAAAACTATAGTATATTATTTAAGGTTATTGAAATAATTTATTTAATATGGGATTGTATTGTTTAAAATGCATTAAATCGTATTTATTAATTCAGTAGTATACGGTATATATTATTATCTATACCCACACAATAAAAGATTATAAATTATAGTATAATATTTTATTAATAACTATTTGTGCGGACACCAGTGCAAATCTCCGTGTTGATTTAATTTTAGTGTAAATATCTTTAAAACGAAATTAAAAAAAAAAAATTGTTTTCATGGAATTATTGTTACCTGCCAACTTGATTGACAGTCATGTCGGACATGTCGTTATATACACAAAAATGTACTTATAAGTTAATATCATGAATATTATCAAAATATGACGGGCATACCCTCTGTTTCCGTCGTCTTCGGCTTCTGTGACACCGATACTAGACACGTACAGATGGTCGTTGCACCAGAAGAAACATATGGACCTGGGTTGTAGCACGTCCATGTCATACTCCCAGTAAAACTCTACTCGTTTCACTCGTCCTATGTCGTCCGGATGGGTGACCACAAAGCTCCGGCTGGTCCCGTGCTCCATACGCTCATAACCACTATGGCGTCGAGAAATGCATTCATTAATAAAACAATATTATGCGAATAACGCTATGTGTGTTATACTGTTGTAATAATACTATAATGGTCGTCTTACTTAGGAGTTAAATCTAGGTTTCTGATAACACCGTTGTCACTATGTAACGACACTTTCATAAAACCTTGAACCCAGGACTCGGCCCTAGGTGGCTTGGCCAAATCCAACATGACCTTGTATTGTCGTCCTAAAAAATTATCATATCAATATCTTAAATTTAGCGTACATAATAATTAATTATTGATAGTAAAACTTAATATTCATAATAAATTGGCGTATTTTATAATGGTTAATATTATATAAGAGCCGTAAACAATAAAAAATGTATCGATAGGAGGCTATACTCTGATAATGATGGTTTTCAAATATGTAATCGTATCAATTGTAACAAAAATGTATTATTTTAGGTAAGGAAAACTTTTTTATTAATCAATCGTTTTAACTGACTATTAAAAATTTAGAAATAACTAAATAATTTAATATTATTCAATTAAACATTAATTTATAATAATTAATAACTATCAATTAATTTTTTAGGCTCTAACTATAAAACTTTTATATTTAGTGGGTATACGCATGATTGTATCTTAACGATACATGCAGGGCCGGACTGGGCCACTGTGCTACTATTCTACAGCACAGTGGGCCGCGTGCTACGGTTAAAAAAAAAAAAATTATAAATACTAAAATATTAAAGTCAATCTAATTATGCAAGGGCTTATATTTTATGCCAATAATACGAATCAATACAAGTTTACTGAGCGTTAGGCAGTTGGTAGTATTATCACAAAAACGCAGTGGAATTGTGGAAATATTACAAAAATAAACACTGAATAGATGAAACACTGAATACAAAAAGATGGGTGTGTGGAAAGAAATTCAGGAAAAACTGACAACCGGTCAAAACAAACTGAAAAAATTACAGAAAATAGGTGAAACTCGTTGGTGGTCTCGCGAAAAAGCATTACTATGGATGTTTGACGGAAATGACTGTTTATATCCAATAGTGATAAATGCATTGGATTTTGTGGCAACATCAAAAACTTTTGACCCAAAATCTATTTCCGAAGCCAATTCATTAAAAGAAAAGTTGTGTCAATTTAATATTATAGTAACAGCTCATTTATTTCTTCCAATTTTCAAAAGTATTGGCCCTACTTCAACATACCTACAATCAAAGAATTTGGATATATTGAATGCTTTTTTAATGGTGGATAAGTGTATTGCTGACATAAGTAACTTAAAATTTGAGAATGTTCTTAAATCATCCAAAGATTTCGTTTTAAAAATGAATAATTCCCTTCACAAAATTGCATTAAATAAAGAGATATTTATTGAGAATGATTTTCCTAAAAATAGAAGAAGAATAAAAAAACTTATGTTTGATGAAGTTTGTGACGATGAAGCACCAACAGATCCAAAACAAAAATTTCGAGTAGAAGTTTTTCAATGTATCATCGACCAATTGCGAACCAGCTTAACTGAAAGATTTACTAACAATAAAAGTTTGGTTGCAGATATGCAATATTTATTGCCAAAACATTATAATGATATAAGAAATAAATTAATTCCTAAATCAGCATTACAAAAGTTATCACTATTATCATCTGTTGATCACTCAAAATTAATTGACGAACTTGAACACTTTGCTGGAATTTATGATAAAATTTCTAAACCATTATATAAAAAAACTGTTGATATCTATGACGAAAAAACAAATAATGATGATGATAATTTAATTGTAACTGATATGGATTATGAAGATTTTTCTTTGGATTGGGATGATACTCATCTATCTGTTACAGGTAACTAAAAAAAAAATTAATTGTTTATTAAATATATCATATTTTAACCAAATTCAACTATAAAATATATTTATATGTTTTTATTCGTGTTAAGATATTTATATAAAGATTTTTTTTTTTCAGAATCTGAATGTGAACACTCTTTTATCCGTGATGAAAAAGGTATACATACCCGAGAGAATTGTTTGATTTGTGTTTTTAATTTACTTCATTCGCTTTATTTACATATGCCCACTTATTCTAATTTATATGCCGCCATGGAATATGTACTAACCTTATCGGTAACTCAGGTTAATTGTGAACGCGTATTTAGCAAATTAAAAATTATAAAAAATCGTCTACGCGCTTCATTATCTAATGACCGCTTAGATGCTTTTTTATTAATGTCTGTAGAAAAAGAAATATTAAATGATTTAAATTTTGAAGATATTTTGGACATTATTAAAAACTCATCTCATACTTTATCTAAATTATTATCGTTCACATAATTACATAATTATATAATTATAAAATCGAATTTGTCATACTGTTACTTGGTGTTACTGATTTATACCTATATGTATTGATATATTTTACATTTTCTTTGTAATCAACACCGACAAAGTTCCTAAATCCTAATTCTTATAAAACGTTGGTAAAGGTAGAAATACTATTGAGAAAAATGTAATATTGTGTTAGTTGGGCCGTTAAATATAGTAAAATGGGCCGGTTGCATACAGAGAATAGTGGGCCGAAACCCTTCCAGTCCGGCCCTGGATACATGTCATTATAGAATAGTATAACATATTAACATAATACCGATCAGCAGGAGACTACCGAAGATAGTTTTAGGGGGGTCAAAGTTGTTGGTTCGACCAAATCTAAAAACTGATCCAGGACAACATGTTTTTGTTATCTCGTTGGAGCCATTTAATTAAGTACGATGCGACAGCCCGGCCATTTCGAAATGTTGGAAAATGTTGGCCCCCATATTTGGTAAGAATTTGCATGGATAAAATTAAAATTTGCATGGTATTGGTTTAAAACCTAAAGCCAAAATTTGAAGGGCCGGGCTGCACAGCGTTTCAACATTAAGTTGTATAATATGCAATAATATTATCATCTTAATTAATTATAGTTATGGAAATTTAATATAAACTTCATTAATTATAATTTATATCATTCACAAGTGCGTGCATTGCATATTTACCTGTATATTTATTTTCCCGACTGCCTTTTGTGAATAATTTATTCAGGCCCGAAGACTTTGCACCGAATACATTAATTGTTTGTGAGTACAGAGTACATATACCTAATATCTAAAATCTAAATACATAAGTTATCGATTTTATAATCTGTTTATTATCTATATTATTATGAAGAACTGTTGGTTCATAGCCCACAAGGGCCGTTTTATTATTAATGCACGCTGTAAGGGCTGTGGTAGGTACTGGTTAATAATATTGTCATATTGGTTTGCGAATTATTTGTTGAATTATATTTTTACATTGTAGCGATGCAAAGATTCCATTGTTATGATTTGTTATGGATTATAATAATTTATAAGAGTATAAGCTCAAACATTGAAACAACTGTTGTCTACTCAATTGCACAAATTCACCAACATGATAATATTATGGACTATATAGTACCTATTATCATCAGTATTTGTTCGGCAATCATCATGACAACATCGTCAGATGATGCAGCTGTAGATTGAGTCACGTTCCGTACATTAGTGCTTTAAAAACGAGGCCTTCGATATTATGGATGTCAAAAAATCGTGAATGCCAATATGTCCGTTTACAGTTGTAAGTTGTGTGTGTGATGGGGAGTTGGTAAGGGTTCAATCCTCATTATACGTACCTCTACCTATATAATATAATATTATTTTAATAAACGGGTAGTACCGGATTATGACTTGATTGACTCAATACACATATTATTAGTATATGCGTGATTTGTTATATTATAATACATTTATACGATGTCAGGGCAATGCTTATTTTGCCTATCAGACTTATTATAAATAATTATAACAATATCGTTAAGCCACCTTATTCGAAACATGAAAAGTCAGAACAAACGGAAGCTTACGTTTTTCATTATGTCACCTCATAGTTCGTTTATATTGCAGGAGCTTATTCAGTGGCGAATTTATCGGTCGTTTAGTCGGAAAATGCCAACGGGGCCCTCTCATGAATTGTGCACCGAGGCCCACCTAAATTATAAACTGATTTTTTTTTAATTTTAACCAAAAAAAATGTATATTTCAAACTGGAATATAATTTACCATTGTTTTAATAATAAAATAGTTTAAACATTAAACGTATAGGAATAATACTTCAAAAGTAGAAAATATTATAATTAAATAAAGTAGAAAAGATCGAAATGTCTTTCTGGAATGTCTTATACTTAGACTGACATACCATCTCCGCTCAAAATCGTTTTTCTTATATAACGATATTATATCATTGAATTCAAATATAATACCATCTATTATACAGTGACCCACTTGTGACGTACTGTACAGCAGAGCACCTTTTTTCATTTGTTTTTGTAGACTTTATTTTGTTTTTAATGATTGAAACTCGTTGTATTATATTATGCAAGATTACTATTATTATTAACGGTTTTTTTTTTTTTAATTTTATGTTCTAAGAAAATATTTTATTAACAAACAAAATAATACTGGATGTCAATCCAATTCTGAGTAAATGCTTCCCTTGAAAGGCAAATTCAGTTGAATTTTAATTTGATTGCCTACAATATTCATATTATTCATCTCGAAAACCTTGAACCTTGTAAAATACTAAAATACATGATATGTATAAAGTAGAATTTAAATAGTAAAGACGTATAAATCTAGAACTAGATCACTATTGTGTGTCAAGAAAGACAGAAAGGAAGTAGGTACCTATACTTTATTATATTTAAGTTTTATAGATAAGTTTTATCTGTTGGTCCCAAAAGTGTAAAAATTTAATCTCCTGATTTATTGTTACAACATTAGTTGAAAAATATTAAAAATACATATTCACAGTTTTTTTTTATAAGCATTTAAGATTAAAATTTTGACAAAATTTATCAAATTTTAAATTTAATAATTATGTTATAGTTAAAAATTTATAAAATGTTCAACTTTTATGTCTAAGGATTTAAAATTAAAAAAAATTCCACGTAAGTAGTTAATTCTGTTACCAAAATATCTAAAAAATACATAAGCACAGTTTATTTTTATAGTGTATTTTTTTTATTACAAAAAATACAAAAACAAACTGTGTACTTTAATTAGATATGCAAAAAATGAGTACTATAGAAAAAAATTAGGGATAGTTATAATACTAAAAATGTATGGAAAGTAATTAACGAGATAACTAACAGAAATGTTAAAAATAAAAAAACAATTACACAAATAATTCATGAAAATGATTTGTTAGATATCAATATAGATACACACAAATGTGTCAATATATTTAATAATTATTTTATAACTGTAGGAGAAAAAATAGCAAATCAAATTCAGAATGACAGTACAATGAAAAAAGAAGTAGGAAATTTCAAAAACCAAAAAAATAATAATGAAAATTTAACAGAAATTAGTTTAAAATATACCAAATTTACGCATGATGAGTTATCGCTAATAATGAATACACTAAAACAAGGTTCATCACCGGGATTTGATTCCATCTCGTCAAACTTACTATTACAAATTTCAAACTATGTTGTAAAGCCGCTTACTAGTTTAATTAATTTAAATTTCGAAAATGGTATATTCCCAACCATATATAAAAAAAGCTTGTATATGCCCTATATATAAAGCAGATGATGAAAGAGAATTACATAATTATAGACCAATTTCTTTAATTTCTTCCATAACTAAAGTTATTGAAAAATGGGCTAAGATGCAACTAAATCGGTTCACCTTTAATAACAAAACTATAAGTGATAAACAATCTGGATTTAGGGACAATATGGGTTGCCAAGAAGCGATTTCTTATTTTTCGAAGTTAATCTATGAATCTTTAGACAAAGGTAAAATATGTTTAGGTATATTTTTAGACATAGCGAAAGCTTTTGATTCAATAGAGTACAACTTACTTCTAAAAAAGTTGAAAACAGTATTAGGTAACAATATCTTATGGTTGTGGTTTCAATCATATCTTTCACATAGATCTCAAACAACAAGAATTAACGGTGAAACAAGTGACCCGTGTACAGAAAAATATGGTATACCGCAAGGGACAGTGTTAGGTCCGTTACTATTTAACATTTATGTAAACGATTTATTAAATATAGATATAAATGGCAATATACTAGCTTTTGCAGATGATACGGTTTTATTTTTCGAGGGGGAAACTTGGTCGGAAGTGGAAAACAAAGCAAACGCAGGACTAGTACGGGTTAATAATTGGTACGCCAAAAATAGTTTAATGCTAAATAAAAAAAAATCAGTATTTATTCACTTTGCCTTGTCCAGTTGTAACAAACCCGAACAAATTACTATTAAATTACAAAACAATAACTGTAAAATAAGTAATAAAACTAACATATGTAACCTAAATTGTAGATAATTATCTAGAGTTGCTTCAGCCAAATATTTAGGTGTAATATTTGATGAGCATCTAAAATGGAAACCACAAGTTGAATCAGCAATAAACCGTATAAGGAAATGTTTTTTTATTTTTAAGGAATTACGAAATGTATTTGATACTCCCGGACTGAAAATGATATACTTCGCGTTAGTCCAATCCATATTAATGTATGGTCTGATTGTATGGGGATCATATTATAATAATGTACTAGAACCATTAATGATAACTCAAAGAATGCTAATAAGAGTCCTAATGAAAAATTATTATATTACTAAAAACATCAACACTAACGATTTATTTATTAAATTGAAAATATGTACTTTAGAACAATTATATGAACAATTATCAATCATTAAAGTGTTTACTAATAAAACTGATTACGAATATAATAATATATATAAAACAAGAGGAGAGGATAAAGGCAATTTAAGATTAATTAAACAAAATACCACATTAATGAAAAATTACTATATAAATAAAGGTATTAAATTGTTTAACCAACTTCCTACAGACATTAAACAAATACATAATAAAAATAAATTTAAATTAGCAATATTAAAAATATGTACATGAAATCGTCTGACTAGCGTAGTAATGTCTCTTTGTCTCTATAGATTTTATTTTATCTCTTTTATTATAGATATTAATAATAAGTTATTGTGTTTATTATGTTAAAAAATGTTAGTTAAGACTATACTATTAACTATGGCATAGCACTATAGCAGTAGTTTTTATAATATTTCTTTTGTTATATATATTGCCAACAATTTATTATGTTTAATTTATGTTTATAAAAATTTAATTATATGATGCTGTTTAACAGTCCTTATATATACTATTAAGATTTTTTTGTAAGAGACTCCCTACTTCCGCCACAAGCTTCGCTTGCAGGGAGTAGGTATCAACTTAATATGTGAATATGTAAATATTATGTGATAATGTGTACCAATGTAGTATGTGGTAAGTTGAAATAAAATAAATAAATAGCCATTTTAAGTTCAAATTTGGGCGAAATTACATAAAAAAAACCTAGAATAACTATTTTAGTTATTTTGTTGTGATTGTATAATATTAATCATGGGTACTTGAAACTTCTAAAGTAGGTACACTATTATAATATATCTATGATAATATCAGGGTTTGTTGTTGGTGTATAACGTGTTATAAGTACCTAATGGATATTATGATATGATTAATTTGGAATTTATTATAGGTCATTTTTTTAATACCATAGATAAGTATATAATATGCCTTATACCTAGACTGACATACCGTCTCCGCTCAGAATCGTTCTTCTTATAAAATTATATTATATCATTGAATTCAAATTTAATACTATCCATTATACAGTGACCCACTTATAACCTACTGTACAGCAGAGCACCTTTTTTTTCTTATAAATATAGAAAAAAAAATTTAATACAAGGTCTCTAATAAGTTGTTATAATAGCAGTTAAAATACAGTAAAGATAAAGAGGCATGGATTTTTATTTATAATCATTTAAAGTTCAAATGTTGTCAAAATTCATAAAAATCTAGAAAAATTTTTAATTAATTTGAAATTAAAAATTTAGAAATTTAGAAATTTTTATACCTTAATAGATTGATAATTTAGAACAAAGTTTCTACAAGTAGTTCATAGTGTAACCAAAAAATATATAGACACGGTTTTAATTTCAAATTTCAAGTCAAATATGCATGTTTTGTCATTTTTGTGAAATAGCAATGATTCAGTGGTATATTATGGGCTATGGCTTTTATATTATATTATAATACTATACGTTTTATAGATTAAAATATGTATTGTTAAATAATGTGATTAATAGTATATGTTCAATATAAATTATTTTTTTGTGTACAGTGATTAGTGGTGACGTGGTGTATAATATTATATCCCTCACCTGAAATTTATTAAAAAAAATTGTATATTCCCACAAGAATAAAATTATACCTACGCCATTGGTACAAGTATAATACTTTTTGACCAACTATTTATAATTAAACTTTCGGGATATACCTGCCTATATATTATAGTTATTTCAATCATTAGTAAGTGTAAAAATGAATATTTATTTTATTTTATCCAAGCCATCTAAAACTATTAAAATAGATACCCAAATACATAATTTATGTGTTTGATTGCCGTTTTTTTAGTGTCCTGGTTACGTATATTATTTCATATTTGTTTATTTTCGAATGTTTGACAGAAAAACTTAATCAACATTTAGTTTATTAATTGAAAATATTTTGTTCTGTTTATGACACCTGCTACTAGTATATTTTACTGGATTTGAACGCCGATTCAATTTGTTTCACTAATTCAGATACAGTGATAACAATGGACACGATGGCTTCAAGTTCAAAGTATCAAAACATAAGTAAGTTCAGTTTAAAATCTAATGCACGGGTTAAGTATTTATTTTACTTTATTCTATAGGGGTTAGAAACTTGACTAGGTAGTACTGTAGTAGGTACTTAGGATCAATATCTTCAAATACGTTTGAGGTTTAATGTATTTAATTATTTACTTAAGCAAATTATAACTATATATAAGTACCTAATAGGACTTTTGTATAATACATAATATACTTACTCGTACATTATAATGTAGGTATAGGACAGCGGTCAGCGGTTCCCAACCTTTTTATATCCACGTACCACTTACACATTTTTACTTCTCAACAAATGAAACGACGTTATTTTACATATATTATGAAGCCTTTTTTATAATTTATTTTATTGATTTAAAGTTTAATCTAATTAAATGACATTAGCATTTATTGTACAAAAAGTAACATCTCGTTAAAATGTACATTTATTTTATTATAATTATAACGAATATGAATGAATAATTGAATAATTTAATATGACTGTTGATGTTGTATGCCCTGAAGTCCCGTGTTGGTAACTTTAAGTCTTAAGTTGTCTTCTATGTTAATTTCGTTTCTATATTTGTAAAAACTAATTTATATTGAATATCACTCTAATAATAATTTATTGTTTAGCGTCCCCACGGTTTTTGGAGACTTAAATCTAATCTCGCCTCACCTCATTTTAACCAGTTTAACCACTGCCCATATTATAATATATTATTATATATATTGTAAATATAATCGGTGAATATAATAGTTAGATAATGTATTATAATACCTATTTCGTATTTATTTTTTAGGTGTTCAACCGACCACGGTTCCACGGACTGCTAAAACGGTGTACGAGGTATATAATATTTATTAAACTATTAACTTTATTTTGTTAAAATATGTAATAAAAATTTAAATATGTTACGGCAGTACATACGTATATAGTGAAATGCCAAATCTATACTAACTTCAGGAAAAAGTTTCACGAACGTCCTTATTCTTAACGTTTGATTGCACTTGAAAATATATTATAAAATCCTGTTTATTATAGTTACCCCGACAAAACTTGACCAAAGACGAACTCGAGAGAAAATCGACTTCCGACAGAACTAAACGCCGTGTGGCCCACACGCCGTGGTTTCCCCTGCCCGTAATAACTAAACCTTTAGTTGAGGAAAAGCCTGCACGGAAACAAACAAAAAAGCTGGTGTTTAAGAAGGATGGAGTATGTTTATATCATTATAATATCATAAATATAATGTAGGTACCTACCAATGTAAGTCATAAGCATTAGCTGAACTAGGGGGGTCTGGAGGCTTAGCCCCCTTAAAATAAATTATTCAATTTAAACTTACTTATTAACTTATTTAAATTTATCAAATTAAACTGTATTTCTTTTTTGGAAAAAAATGTAATTATTTAATTTGTATTTAAACTTTTTTTTTATATTGCCTATGATAAGTATGGTATATATCATACGCTGTCTGTTTGTGTTCGTTTTTAGAAAACAATTTATGTCGGTATGATATAAATTATATTGTTTTTGGTAAGATTATTACACACAATTTTACAGTATTTTACCTATGCACTGAACTATAACATAGAGATATGTAATAACATAATGAAAATTACCTGTAAAAAATCAATGACCCCAGACTACAATATTACTGATAACCACTTGTCCACATACCATTTTTAAAACCTAATTGGTGTATAATTATTACATTATTAATATTTAATTACAAATATATTATTATGCTATACTTTTCATTAAAACAATTAATATCTAATAAATCATATTCAAAAATTAACAATAATATTGTTTTGTTTATATCACGATGTGAAACAACATAATATGTTAATAGTTCTTTTAAAAGATTACTGATTAGGTACTTAAATGCATTAACTATTAATTGTTTAGTAATAATTAATTTTGTTAGTTGATGTATCGATCATTCGAAATAATTTTATTTTATAATGTTTTAAATATTGTACCTACCTATATTAAGTAAAACTTGTAATATCTATAGGGTTTTTCAATAAGGACGCTCGATGTTTCATAGTGAAAAAAACAAGTTGTGTGTGAGATATATACTTAATTTTTATTTCATTTTAAATATTATATGGCAATTATTTATGGAATATAACATCTTTCAAATGTCCGCCTCGGCTTTGATTGGTGGCACGTATTCGGGTGGTCCAATTTTCTATCACTTTGTTGCATAAATCTGGTTTAATTTGCTTGATGGTGTTGATTATGTTGACTTTGAGGGCATAAATTGATTGTTGTTTATTTGCATGGACATGCGATTTAAGATAGCCCCAAAGAAAAAAGTCTAATGGCGTTAAATCGCACGATCTCGGAGGCCAGTTTATGTCACCATTGCGTGATATATCACCATGCCCTCAAATCGTTCACGCAGAATGTCCATCGTTGCACGCGCCGTGTGACACGTAGCACCATCCTGCTGGAACCACATGTCCTCAGTATCCATATCATAGAGCTTAGGCCAAAAAAAGTTGTTGATCATTGATCTGTAGCGCTCACCGTTGACGGTTATGGCAATGCCTGTTTCGTTTTGGAAGAAGTATGGACCAATGATTCCGCCAGACCAAAATCCGCACCAAACAGTGATCTCTTCTGGATGCATTTTGTTTTTTTGTGTCTTGTGTGGATTGGTATCATCCCAAATCCGACAATTTTGTTTGTTAACGTATCCATTCATCCAAAAATGGGCCTCGTCGCTAAAGATTATTTTTTTAGCGAAGTTTGGATCAACTGCTAACTGCCCCAGAACCCAATCAGCGAATACACGACGTTGTGTATGGTCGTTTACCTTGAGTCCTTGTGTTAGTTGGATTTCATACGGGTGCAGACCCAAGTCTCGACGCAAAATTCGAGGATAAAAATCGAGTAATGCGCGGAAAGTTTCACTAACGGAGCACTGATTTTGGTAATAAAATTTAATTATACGCACACGTTGTTCTACGCTATAACCGTTCATGGTGATTTGCCATACGGTACTGAACAATTCACAAAAATTATGCAGATAAGGCTTTAATGACATTCCCGATATATCCGATCAAAGTTCGAGCGCCTCTATTGAAAAACCCGTTACTTCTAATAACAATAATTATCATTATTTACATATCTTTAAAATATTATTAGAAAACGTAGGTAATATTTTATTTAAGGATATATTATAATATATAATATAAAGTATTTTGAAAATTATAATATGCATTTAAAAAAAATAAGCTATAATTAAATACTTGAGTAAATAAATAATTGATTTTTTACTTTTTTTAAGTGAACATATATTGAGGTGTGGGGGCATCGCCCCCAAGGGTTACTTTTCATGTAATGTCAAGTGGGGGCTTCAGCCCCCCCCCCCAAATTTCTGCCCCAGTTGCGTCACTGGTCATACTGTTCATTACGTATATTTTATCTGGTTTTTAATTTAAAAAAAACATTGATCGGTTTGTTATATTTATTTTAACTCATTTAAAAATCGTGTTTCGGCTAACCTATCTACGCATATAAACTGATATATCTATATACCTAAATATTAATTCACTTTATTGTTCAATATAGTATTTTCGTAGTATATTTTTATAGTACCTAATTCATGTAAGTGTGTCCAAACTTATTAATATTTCAATAAATAAATAAACAAATAAATAATTATATTCCAATTTTTTAATACATTTAATGACCAACTTAAGAATATAATATTATTAATTTTATTTTTACGTAAGTAGGTAGCTTACATAGTGTGAAAAAATTAGCTATTTATTGATAAAATCTCTTATGTGCTATCTGCATCGTAAAATTAATAAAAAATAATAAATAAATTCTCCTAATAATTGTGGTACCTACTAATTGTTTATGAAATATCTCCTATGTGCAGCTATCCCCCCCCCCCCCCCCCCCGTAGAAAAATCTTCCTTTGTATCCTCCAACTATAAATAGTGTATGAAATAACTCCTATGTGATTTCTTTATTTAAAACGTTTTTCGTGATTCCTGAAAACTACGCTTTTTCACATAGGAGGTTTGTTCCCGTGAACGACGAAGTATTTTTTTAATATAAGCGTGTACTCTGCTCTGGTACAAAATAGCTATAAAAGAAAAATTTATTTAGTTACTTCCCATGACCCGATATAAATTTTGAAAATATGTCTGTATAATATAACTTTTTTACTAGGTTATGTAGGGAAAATAATTGATGTAACTGAATGTAAGTGTATAAAATAAAAATACTTTCATAATTTTTCAGAAAGTCAATATATTTATTAAGCCTTATTGAATACAAAAATCTGTTTCCTACATAACATAGAAAAGGGGACGATGAGTTCACAAGTATTTTTAAAATAATAATCGGTCATTGGGTAGTACATAAGCTAATCTTCCGCTTATTGGTCTAAGACTAAAAAAAATACTGAGTGCTCCAACCGCCTTAAACTTAAACGTAGATACGTTTCTATAATATCGCATACGATAATAAGGTGACATTAATTACTACAGTAATTAATAATTAGCCTAATGTGCATTAGATGTGTAGGTATATTATTTATAAAAAGTGACCAATGAATTACGCATTAACTAGGTATAAACGGTATACCAATAAAGTTTTAGATGAACAATGATTATTGATTTTTAGACTGTCTCGCGTGTAACGACATTTGAAAGTAGAAAATCTACTTCCGACAGAATTAAATTAAATTTAATTCTGTCGGAAGTAGATTTTCTACTTTCAAATGTCGTTACACGCGAGACAGTCTAAAAATCAAAATCCTATTTGGGAGACGTGCCCGCAATCACTAAGCCTGCTGTGGTGGCGCAAAAGCCACAGCAAAATCAAATAAAACAGTCGGTGTTAAAGAAGGATGGAGTATGTACCCATATATTATTATAATAATATAATATTATAAATATAAAGTACCAATGTAAATCATACGGTTTATTACGCCACGCACAATACAGTAAAACTTCTATTTTTAAAAGTTATATAAATAATATTACTTGTAAGTTGTAGATAAAATATACAGGTAGACAGATCACGATTGACAAAGCAGTAATGTAAATATTAATTAATAATTATTATTAAAATACGTAAAAACAAAACATCATTGGCGGAAATGCGGGATACGATAATATATTTTTATACGGCGTGGTCTATAAATATTATAATATCGTATACGATAGTAAGTTACATTAATTACCATAGTTATGAATATTTAGCTTAATGTGTATTAGATATGTATATTATTTATAAATATGATATGCGAGGAGAAGTGACCGATGAATAATAATAAACTAGGTATACGGTATAATATCTAAATATAGTTTTCGATGAAAAATGATTATTGATTTTTAGACTGTCTCGCGTGTAACGGCATTTGAAAGTAGAAAATCTACTTCCGACGGAATTAAACGCCATGTGGCAGACGTCCCCGTAATCACTAGGCCTGCTGTGGTGGCCCAAAAGCCACAGCAAAATCAAATAAAAAAGCCGGTGTTAAATAAGGTTGGAGTATGTACCTTATATATTATTATAATATTATAAATATAAAGTAACAATGTAAATCATGCGGTTCATTACGCCACTCACAATACAGTAAAATTTCGTTATGTCAAAACCAAAGAGACACTGCAGGTTGAGCTATCAAAAAGTTCGAAATATCTAGTGACGAGTTTCATTGTAATTTTAATTATTTGGAGGGGATTTCAATTGAGTTAGGTGTCACGAAAAATACGAGATAACGACTTTCGACATTTAATAAAAATATGTTGTTATGAAATAATCTGAATTTTGCTGTTGACTTAGGTAGGTACCGATCACGAATTAAGATAGTATACAGGATACCGAACGAAAGTGTGATGAGTGCAGAAGCCCGAACCTTCTTGACAACTATCACTTTATATATATGATTGTTCTGTGTTGCCCGGGAGAATAATGAACTATTGTCGTTAAGTTCCTATTGTTCTTACAGTTAACACAGAACAATCCTATAAAGCTCCAGTCGTCATGCTAAACAGTGATAAACGGGTGGACTCAGAAAACATTGACAAGACCTTTCCGAGTTCCGTATCCTGTATATTTCAATTCGTGGTACCAATGTATCTCAACTCTCATTCATCGATATGAGATTCAATATTTTGTTCTCCAAACCTCTAGGGCAGGGGTCTCCAAAATTTTTTATTCAAGGGCCACAAAAAAAAATCAAATGCTCTTAGCGGGCGAAAACTTTATTAACACATATCATTTTTAACTTTATGATAATATAGGTACCTATATAAATAATATTATGTTTACTTTATATTTTTGTATAGAATATTGTTTACTTTACAATATACTTAAATAAAAATAAATAGGTATACATATAATATAATATAAATTACATTTTTGGAATTATTTTTTTTATCTATATTTACCTATGCGTCCTATGCGGGCCACGGGCCGGTTAAAACTTGTTCGCGGGCCGTAGTTTAGAGACCTCTGCTCATGGGAAATAACCGGGAGCTTTTTTGAATATAAAAGATCTCTTTTCCAACGGTCAGCTTAGATACTGTCTTGCTCACGTGCCTATTAATAGGTAGTATAATATGTAATTATCAAAATGCCGGAAAAATATTAATATGGATATTTGGTCTAAAAATGGAGTAGTTACATATCAATTTGGTATTTATGTGGGAGAATGTATTTCCCAGAAAATAAATCACCTGTATTTTTAAAAGTTATATAATTAATATAACTTGTAAGTTGTAGATAAAATATATAGACAGTTCACGATTGACAAAGCAGTAATGTCAATATTAATTAATAATTATTATTAAAATACGTAAAAACAAAACATCATTGGCGGAAATGCGGGATACGATAATATATTTTTATATTATTATAAATTATTTATTATTATTTTTCAATTTTTCAGGAAAAAAACCATTTATTTCGAAAATTTTAAATAAAACTAAATTTTCCCAATTTTTCCGAAAAAAAACGTTAAAAAACCCGGGTTTTTTTCGGAAATTTTGATCCCTAATAATATTTACCTAAAGCATTAACCTTTACACTATATTTAATTTTATTCAGTAATTTTGTAGTCTATAATATATTCTTATATATACTTATACCCTGGCGTTTAGAGTTTAACGTGTATAACCATATAATAGGTGGTCTATAAATTATAATATCGTATACCAAGGTAATTAATACATGGTAGAGCCACTTCACTATCGAAATCGAAATTTAAATTATATACTTGATCATATAATTTTACATGGCCTTAGACTATAAGCTTATCTGATTGGTTCCACTCTCGGCCAACATTTTATTTCGATAGTTCATCAATCGTGATTTCGATAGTGAAGTAGCACTACCATGTATTATAATTACCTTGTCGTATACGATAGTAAGGTTACATTAATTACCATAGTAATGAATATTTAGCTAAATGTGTATTAGATATTATGTATATTATTTATAAGCATGATATGCGAGGAAAAGTGACCGATGAATGATAATAAACTAGGTATACGGTATAATATCTATACACATATAGTTTTCGATGAAAAATGATTATTGATTTTTAGACTGTCTCACGTGTACCGATATTTGAAAGTAGAAAATCTACTTCCGACGGAATTAAACGCCATGTGGCAGACGTACCCGTAATCACTAGGCCTGCTGTGGTGGCTCAAAAGCCACAGCAAAATCAAATAAATAAGCTGGTGTTAAAGAAGGATGGAGTATGTATATATGGATATTATTATAATATTATAATATTATAAATTTATAAATATAAAGTATACCAATGTAAATCATACGGTTCATTACGCCACGCACAATACAGTACAGTACAATCTATATATAGTTTTCGATGAAAAATTATTATTCATTTTTAGAGCACCTGGAGTGTAAAGCCACGCGAAGTTAAACAAACAACCAAGAGAGTTGTTTATGATTCGAAAAGAGCTCAGCATATCCAGTCTTCTAGTTCTG